GCTTAACGACTGAGCCACCCAGGCGCCCCGCCCCGATTGGGCATTTTAAAGGAAGAGTGAGAGTAGCGGGGCAAGCTGGGGCTCAGAAGAGGCCGAGAAGTGAAAAATTACAAAGGAACCGTTGTCCAAGTGCATTTAGGTTGGCTGTGTCTGCTGGCTGGCAGTTATCATCTTACAGACACTGGGAGACAGGCCCTGTCCTTCCTGATGAGGACATTTTAAAGGAATGGCTCTCAGGTCCTTGAGAAAGACTTGTGAGTCGTGGGAGAGACATATTCACAATTGTCAGCCCTTTATAGAAATGCTCTAAGACAGGGAGGTCAGAGGCCCTTTGTCTGGTACTGGCTAGAACCAACAGTCAGTTCTCCTTGGCAGCATTGTGCTTTCTCAGGGAAGGGTTCTAATGGGGGCCAGGGTCATCCTAGGGATGCGCCTCATGCTGCTAGAAGCCATGCTGGAGCTTGGTGTCTCCTAGAGCACAGGTTTGGGTGAAGTTGGTTATGTGCTGATAGTTCTGCAGTTCTCAAGGGTCTAACCACTGCTTAATGGATTTGTGTTGGCCGAACATATTTAAATAATTTCAGTTTCCTCTACCCTGAAAGGAACGGGGTCAGCTGGAATGCCTTTCACCTTCCCTTAGTGGCTAGACACAGCCAGAAAACAGGAGCCTCACCTGTGTTCGTTATCTCCCTTCCCTGGGTCTGTCTGTTCTCCTTGGCAGGACGATAGCTGTCCTTCCCTTCTCTTGAAGCCTAGCCCCTTTACTTGGGACTAAGAGACTTCATTTCCCTACCGCAGATGCTCTGATTTTTTTGAAATAATTCAGTATGATCAGTCTGTTATAAACATGATTAAATATTTTACTATCTACATTAGTTTTCTGGGCACTATGAAAAAAAGGAGAGTTTAAAGGTCTGTCTCTTACCCAGGGAATCATACCTAGCAGAACAGCATTTCTGTCACATATTTTCATCAAACTTTTCCTTTTTGGCATTTATCTCAGGATGTAATGTATTTATTTATATGATAATTTTTAAATATATGCCATGGAAAAAAAAATAAAAAAAAATAAATATATGTCATGGGAACTCTTGTCTTTGTTCACCGTTGAAAGGCCAGCACCTGCCACAGTGCCTGGAACTGTTAAATATATTCCAGAATGATCTATTTAATGATGAAATGAATGGGTGGCTTTCCATCTTACCTTGTCTTTTCCAATAACACCAACAGTATACAATGCTATTTAATTAAACCATGGTAAACGAATGTTTGCAAAGTATCATGGACCTTGAGTTGTGTTTCAGTGACTCTTCTTCTCTTTGTAGGTTCCTTACCTATTCCTACCTCTTGGCCTTCAACGTGTGGCTTCTGCTTGCACCTGTTACCCTATGCTATGACTGGCAGGTTGGCAGTATTCCTCTGGTAGAGACCATATGGGACGTGCGGAACTTAGCCACCATCCTTCTGGCAGTTGTCATGACCTTATTGAGCCTTCATTGTTTAGCAGCCTTCAAGGTAATTTTCTTAAAATCCAGCCGAACTCTCTGCATTTGAAGAGAGATGCTCTGTACTTGGTGACACCTTACCCACCCCGCACCCCCACGTGGTCTAGGTCTAAATTGAATCTACTCTTTTGTCTAAAAAACTAAAAAAATTTAAATTTTTCCAGGTGAGTCATACATATTTTAAAGACCTTCGTGGAGTTAGCAGATCACGGCCACCTTAATTATATGGTATCTTTCACTGTGCTACCAATCCTGTAGAAATTGGATCTGAAATTTAATGTTTGCAAATAAGAATTTTTTTTCCTGCTATAGTTGACTAATTTTTGCAGTAACTTGTTTGGTTTCATGTAATGATAAATGAGATCATGATAATATATTCGTTAAGTGCTTAAAATACGGTTAAGATGCTACTTCCACTAAGGACTGCCTGCCTGACTGGGTGGGTTGGGTGATTCTTCCTTGAAAAAAAAAAAAGAATGGTATAAAACTGGAAAAAAATTATTAGATGCAGCAGTTTCAAGAATGACCAAAGACAGCAAAGAACTTGAAAATGTTTACTTAGGAAAAACTGCTACTGCACTGGGGAAGATGCTTCTTGCTTGAGGGGATTCCCATCCCCCCACCCCCACATATACCCCCTCCCCCGCCCAGCCCAGCTGGTATGAAAAGACTCACAGGTTTACTAGTTAGAGGCTGATTTGGTTTGGGAAAGTAGCAGAGCAGCAAGAAACTTCAGGGGGAACTTTTGGAAACAAGAGAGCTGTGGAAGGGCTGAGATAATAGGCTCTGCATGCATTCATGGCTGGCTGCTGAACAACATGGGGCTCCCCAGGGAGCACAAGCAAAATTGAAAGCTTGGGGAGACTTACTTATTTCCTACAAATCTGAATGAATTTTTTCACCCATACACAGGTTGGGCAGCAGAGAGGGGAGGCTTCATTGGCTTGAGTTGTCGTTGTATAACTATTGTTGAAATCATTGGCTGGTCAAAAAACTGTGCAGGTGCAAGAGAGATTCCCCCAGAGATTCAGGCAAAAGGGGGCAAAAAGAAACCTGAGCAAAAATTTCAGCTCTCTACAGAGAAACAGATTCTTCATTTTGAGTCTAGGCAAGTTCATTATACATTAAAACAGTAAAACCAGCAAATTTCAGAACACAATGGAATACAGAGGCAGTACAATGTATGATACACAAGGCTTAGTTTTTAATCAGATTACTGAACATGTAAAGAAACAGGAGAGTGTGACCGAAACTCGGGGCGGGGGGAGATAGTAAATAGAAAACAGAATAGAATTAAGAATCCAAAAGTAAGCTCACATTTACATGCTCTATTGATTTTTGGCAAAGTTACCAAGATAATTCAGTGGGGAAGGGATGGTCTTTTAAATAAAGGTACTGAAATAATGGAATATCTATAAGGAAAAAATGTGACATTTAACCCTTATGTCATACTGTACACTGAGAAATTAATTCTAAGTGGATTGCAATCCTAAACAAAAGAATTAAATAATACCAAAAACTCTAAAAGGAAACAGGAGAAAAATCTTTGTGGGCTTGGGTTAAGCAAAGATTTCTTAGGACTCATAAAGTACAGACTGTAAAAGAAAAAGATGACAGATTAGACATCATTAGAATTAAAAATTTTGCTCATCAGGGGCGTCTGGGTGGCTCAGCTGGTTAAACCTCCGACTCTTGATCTCAGCTCAGGTCTTGATCTCAGGGTCATGAGTTCAAGCCGCCCATAGGCTCCACTTAAAAAAAGGTGTTCGATTGCTCATCAGAAGATAATGTTAGGGGCACCTGGGTAGCTCAGTCGGTTAAGTGTCTGCCTTCGGCTTAGGTCATGATCCCAGGGTCTTGGGATCAAGCCCCGCATTGGGCTCCTTACTCAGTGGGGAACCTGCTTCTCCCTCTGCCTGCTACTCGCCCTGCTTGTGCTCTCTCTCTGTCAAATGAATAAATAAAATCTTAAAAAAAAAAGGATGATGTTAAATCACTCAAAAGGCAAGTCACAAACTGGGAGAAGGTATTTGCAAAACATGTATCTACAAAGGAGTTGTATCTGGGACATTTAAAGAGCTCTTAAAACTCAGTAATAAGACAAATATTCATTAAAAATGGGCAAAAAATTCAAACAGACACTTCACAGAAGAAGATATGCAAAGGTTAATAAACATATAGAAAGATGCTCAGCATCATTAGTCATCATGGAAATGCTAATTAAAGCCACAAAAAGAAATCTCTGCATACCCACCAGAATGACTGTAATTAAAAAGATTCACAATACTAAGTGTTGGCCAGAATGTAGAGCAACTGGACCCCTTATACTGATGAGGGTTGAAAAATAGCTCAGCCACTTTGGAAAAATTTGGCAGTTTCTTAAAAAGTTAAATATGAAAATAAGCAATTCTACTGAATATCTACCAAAGAGAGATAGAAACTTCCGTCCATACAACATATAAGAGTCTTGTAAGTATTCATAATAGCTGAAAAATGGAAATAATCCAGTAACCTCAAAATATAAATGGATACACTTAATATGGTAAATTATTCAGAAATGTAAAGGAACAAATAATTTACTTATACATGAAAAAACATACATGAACCTGAAACACATCTTACTAAGTAAAAGAAGCCAGATGGGCGTGCCTGGCTGGCTCAGTAGGTGGAGCATGTCACTCTTGCTCTTGAAGTTGTAAGTTCGAGCCCACATTGGCTGTAGAGATTACTTAAAAATAAAATCTTAAAAAAAAAAAGTCAGACATATAAAATTACATAATGTATGATTCCATTCATACAAAATTCATTCATACAAAATGTCTGTTACTTTAATTCTGCCTTTTCTAGAATTGCCCAGAAATGCCTAGAGAAGGCAGAATTATGTCAGAAAATATGTGGGTTGGGGAGTGGGTATAAACAGACTTAAGGGAACTTTTGGGGATGTTGAATGCTTTTAAAATTTAATTGTGGTGGTGGTTGCTAAATGACAAATGTTTACCAAAACTCACCAAAATATACACACAAAATGGGGTGAATTCTATTATATGTGGGCTATATCTCAATAAAGCTATGTTTATTAAAAAGATTAAAATGTTACAAAGAGATTAAAGGCTAGAATAAATACAGAACTGACATTTGAATATAAAATACAAACATGTGATCCTGAAAATTTGATGAAAAAAATTTTTGAATGACTAAAACCTTCTTTTTTATTAAGGAAAAATTCATGTACAATTAACAATTTTTTTTTAAAGATTTTATTTATTTATTTGACAGAGAGAGACACAGTGAGAGAGGGAACACAAGCAGGGGGGGGTGGGAGAGGGAGAAGCAGGCTTCCCGCCGAGCAGGGAGCCCGATGCGGGGCTCGACCTCAGGACCCTGGGATCATGACCTGAGCCGAAGGCAGACGCTTAACGACTGAGCCATCCAGGCGCCCCTACAATTAACCATTTTAAAGTGTACAGTTTAGTGGTACTTAATGTATTCATAATGTGTAACTACCAGCTCTCTCTAATTTCAAAACCTTTTCATCACTTCATTAAAAACACCACATACCAATCACTCCCAACTCTCCCCTCCCCATCCCCAGGTGACATCTAATCTGCTTTCTGTCTCAGTGGATTGGCCTCTTCTGGATATATCATATAAAAAGAATTATACAATATGTGACTTTTGTGACACTTTGCATAATATTTTTGAAATTCATCCAAGTTGTAGCATGTATCAATACTTAGTTCCTTTTAGTGGCTGAATAATATTCCATTGGATGTGTACACCATAATTTGTTTATCCATTCATCTGTTTGTGGACATCCATGTCATTTCCACCTTTCTGCTGTTATGGGCATTGCTATATTACAACATTTGTGTATAGGTTTCTGCATGGACATATGTTTTCATTTCTTTTGGATATATACCTAAGACTGAAACTGCTGGGTCATATGGTAATTATGTACTTAACTTTTCGAGGAACTATTTTTCATATTGGCTGTACCATTTAACATTCTCACCCAGAGTATATAATCGTTCCTATATATCTAATCTTTGGTAATACTTGTTCTTTTCCATTATTTTGTTTAAAGCCATCCTAGTAGGTGTGAAGAGCTGTATCTTTGTGGTTTTGATTTGAATTTCTTTAATGAACAATGATGAACGTCTTTTCATGTGCTTATTGGCCATCTGTATATCTTCGTTGGAGAAATGTGTATTCTAGTCCTTTGCTCATTTTTCAGTTGGGTTGTCTTTTTGTTGTTGAGTTGTAAGAGTTCTTTATATATTTAACATATTAAATCCCCAACAGATAAATGATTTGCAGATATTTTCTTCCATTCTTTAGATTGTCTTTTCACATTCTTGATAATGTCCTTTAATGCACACAAGTTTTTAATTCAATGAAGTGCAGTCTCTTTTCTTTCTTTCTTTTTTTTGTTTTGTTTTGTTATTCTTCATTGCTTTTGTTGTCAAACCTAAGAATCCGTTACCAAAGCTGAGGTCATGAAGTTTTATGACTATTTTGTTCTAAGAGTTTTATAGTTTAAGCTCTTATATTTGGGTCACTGATCCGTTCTGAGTTATTTTTGTATATGTAGTGGTATGGGAGTCCAGCTTCATTTTTTGGCTGGTGGATATCCACTTACCATATTTTGAAGAAACTATTTTTCCCCCCAACACCTTACTTAAAGTAATCCACTTCTTAATCATTTTGTAAATCAGGTTGATAAGACAACTATGATATGAATAATCATCCTCAAGAAAATCTAGCGTGCCAATTAGTTACATAAACTTGAGCTCAAATTTCACCTTCTTAGTAAAGCCTACCATATGTACCCTATTTGTTTATTTATTTATTTGTGAGAGAGAACGAGAGAGCGAAAATGGGGAAGGGTGAGAGGAAGGGAGAGGGACAAGCAGACTCTGCGCTGAGCTCAAACTCAGGACCCTGAGATCATGACCTGAGCCGAAACCAACAGTTCAATATCAACCGACTAAGCCACCCAGGTGTCCCCAT